ATACACACACACATATATCCGCAGATATATATATTCATATACATATATATATATACTTATACAAATATACACGCACAATTATTTGATTAGCACTGACCCTTCACACCATTTGAGGAAAAAAGCAAAGGAATTTCTTTAAGCCTCTCGGGCACTTCCATCGACTGATTAAAAGTTCCATTGAACGGTGAGACATGCAATATACTACCGACGCACGAATTACACTCTCACTCACACGCTCTCTCTTATCTCTGTCTGTCTGTCTCTGTCTGTCTCTGTCTCTGTCTCTGTCTCTCTTTCTCTGTCTCTCGGTCTCTCTCTCTTCTTCGTCTCTCTTCTCTCTTCTTCATCTCTCTTCTCTCTGTCTGTCTGTCTGTCACTCTGTCTGTCTGTCTGTCTCCCTGTCTGTCTGTCTGTCTCTGTCTCTGTCTCTGTCTCTGTCTCTGTCTCTCTCTCTCTCTCTCTCTCTCTCTCTCTCTCTCTCTCTCTCTCTCTCTCTCTCTCTCTCTCTCCTCTCTCTCTCTCTCCCTCTCCCTCCCTCCCTCTCTCCCTCTCCCTCCCTCCCTCTCTCCCTCTCCCTCCCTCCCTCTCTCCCTCTCTCCTCTCCCCCCCCCCCTCTCTCTCTCTCTCTCTCTCTCTCTCTCTCTCTCTCTCTCTCTCTCTCTCTCTCTCTCTCTCTCTCTCTCTCTCTCTCTCTCTCTCTCTCTCTCTCTCTCTCTCTCTCTCTCTCTCCTCTCTCTCCCTCTCTCTCCTCTCTCTCCTCTCTCTCCCTCTCTCTCCCCTCTCTCTCCCCTCTCTCTCCCTCTCTCTCCTCTCTCTCTCCTCTCTCTCTCCTCTCTCTCTCCTCTCTCTCTCTCTCTCTCTCTCTCTCTCTCTCTCTCTCTCTCTCTCTCTCTCTCTCTCTCTCTCTCTCTCTCTCTCTCTCTCTCTCTCTCTCTCTCTCTCTCTCTCTCTCTCTCTCCCTCGCTCGCTCGCTCGCTCGCATGTGTACACGAGGAAGCCAATTTTCTTAACTAGTAGCAGCGTTATTCATGTTGTGCCTCGAATACTGTAATAAGTTATCCTGGCTGTTGTAATTCAAATACATTGTTAGATTCTGTCCATTGTCATTAGTTTGCCTTTTGGTATACTTTACCCATTGTGCCATCGTGCCATAAAGCCTTAGTTTGTAGACGTAGTTTGGGCCGCATTGTCATAGTTCTGCATCCCATGTATAGGTAGTCCATTTTGTCATTAAGTGATAACGTGGTAAGTTTCGCCGTTGGAGCGCCGCGTCACTGTTGCGAACTTGCGACCTTTGCCCTTCACCGATAAACGTGTATTTCGCATCAAATGCCATAGCGCTAATTTGGTTTATGGTTACATAAAGATCTGCTATTGATTAAAAATGGTTATTGGAGTAACTGTGGTAATTTTGTATGTACATCATCGCTATGGCGTAACGTTGGTTCACACTAAAATAACATCACACGTATTTTTGCATGTCCACATAAACTAATCAATTTGGAATGGACTAGGATGCATTCGGTTACCAGCGAAAGCATGTCATTTTGCTCTCTAATGCCATCAAATTATAGATGAGGTGCATATTATGCAACTGTGTTTATGGCCTCAACTTCGCAGTTTTGCAACGGTAGTTAACGTAAATTTCACTCCTCGATTTTATCCCGCAGTAACTATCATTAATTTCCCCCAATTATACGAGCTGTAAATAATGACGTCCGTTGCAGTAGCGCTAATTCAAACACGCGGCAATAAGCGAACCACTCAACTGCACAAGCCATTGCGAGCGTCACATGTGGCTCAGTGACAACTATATGATCCGGCTGGAACTGTGGACGCGCTGCTTTAAAGTTCGACGCGATCAGTATATTTAGCTTTGAAGCCGATGTAATGACTCCAGCCAGATAGATTAAGAACAGCCACTGATTGGTGACGGGAGGTTGTTTCATTCCGAGTGCTAGAACGCCATTTGGCAAGTCTTCATGAATTAACGCACGGAAATCTAATATCTATGCTAAACTGAGTGCGTACAATGGAAACTGACGCTTTGACGATTTGAATACATTACCCTGAAATCAAATCTACATTATTCCGGATAACAGGGCGCGCGATATGATTTATTTGCAGACGAAATCTCCGGCGCCGCTTTAAACACAAATGTTTTCCCGGATAGGCGATCGCCCGCGGACATCACTCCGCTGACCCCGCCTCGAGTGAGAGGCGCGAGCGGCGGCCGAACACTTGTGGTGCGCAATTTCGAGTCGCACATGTGTGAAGGGCAGGTGTTCACTTTTTCCTTTTACTTTTTTCTCCTTTTTTAAAAAAATCCCAAGGGCTGTTGCCGGCTCTTGTCGGTGAGTGAGCAGGGTGCAGTGTAAGCATTTTATCTTTGAAGTTGACATATTTTGATTTGTATCTGTAACTAATTCATTTGTCAGTTTTAGGATTATCTGGCATCGCCTGTTTTTGATTTACCATGATGCTTGCCCGGTGGCAATACACACTATACCAGTGATCTAGATGAGTCGGATCGGGATGCTGCGAAGCTCTTTAAAATTCAGGAAGGGCTTATTCAGAGGGAAGGGTGGAATAGTTCGAGTGAAACCCGAACAAAATATACGTCATAAAAGTCCTTTGGTCGTCTTTTTTTACTTTTTTAAACAGATCTGTGAAAATTACCCTCGAATACGAATTTCGCAGGAACGCCTTCTCGTAAACATTTACGAATATTTCTGAAATTAAAAATTCCTTCGTTTATTCCTATTCGTTGTTACAATTTCATGGGGGTGGGGGCGGGGGGGGACTTTGCAATTTTTAATTAACAGTCTTAATGGGAAAAGTGCATGCACGCAATATCCCCTTTGTAAACGCAACTGAACCACAAATAAAAGTTGACGAATCGCTAAATACACAACCCAGAGGGATATGAGCCACGGAGGGCTAAGGGAACGGAAACGATGCAACCGGAACCCAACCAGCTTTTCCTGGTTGCAGTGATGAGCGCGCTTGTTTACTCATTGAGTGGATGTAGGTTGATGTAGTGAATGTTAGGTTATGCTCTGCACGTAAATACTCGTAGGATGTCCGTTGATGAGAAACAGCGTAGCCATTAACTTAAAGTGGTGCATCCAGCAGGCAATTTGTTTCCGCAGTTTTAAAAGCAGAGAAGATGGACACATTGTCAGTTTCTACCGACAGAATTTGGAATCGTTTGTAGATTGTAACCTATTGATTTCTGGATGACCTGGCAGCCGGCAATCAGTATCACTTTCATATCTTCATTTTAACAGGTCTATAATCTCATCACCATTATGTTTATTTGTCTTTGGCAAACGAGTCTAAAATAAACTCGAAAGTGAATCTCTTTACGACCTCTTGGGGCCGCACTTTGAAAATCACTCCATTTTCTCCATCACATCTGCAAACAACGCAAACAACAAAACATCAGTCTGTGTATTGCCGGAACTTGGACAACTCTTTGTTAGCCAGAAAGGAAAATTTACGAGATCGAAATCTTCCTTTTTATTCTAAATCCGGACAGGCAGACACTCGCGACGACGCCCATGGTCTAGTTGGCTTTTTTCGTTTAAATAGAGAAAGAAGCTGATAACGGCTCAAGGCAGTCGAGATCTTATTCAGATACAGTGTGAAGTGTGCTTTAAGATCTCCGTCGGTTCTCTTTTCAGTCTTTGAACATATCCGCCTGTGCTTGTCCCCTCCCCCGCTCTTTCCACGCGAATGCGCTACTACTCACGCATACATATAAAGAAATACAAACACAAACACACACACACACACAAACACACACACACACACACACACACACACACACACACACACACACACACACACACACACACACACACACACACACACACACACACACACACACACACACACACACAAACACACACAAACACACACAAACACAAACACACACACACACACACACACACACACACACACACACACACACACACACACACACACACACACACACACACACACACACACACACATACTCACTCACTCACTCACTCACTCACTCATTGATTTATTCATTCATACTCACTTACTCACTCATTCACTCACACTCCCTCACTCACTCTCCCATTTATTCAATCACTCATTAATTCACCCATACACACTCACTCACTCATTCACACTCACTCACTCACTCATTCACACTCACTCATTCATTCACTCACACTCACATTCACTCACTCACTCATTCACACTCACTCACACTCACTCACTCATTCATTCACTCACTCACTCACTCACTCACTCACTCACTCACTCACTCACTCACTCACTCACTCACTCACTCACACCTCTTACCTTCCCCATGGATCTTCCCCAGCGCTGTCATTGGACCTTACACCACACGCCCACTTTGTCTTCATAATTTAACCAGGTCCTTTATCATGTGCTCAGGGTTAGTCTCTTGCTCTTCGTTCCCTACCATTTGAGGGGATTTTCCTCTTATCTTTGTGTTATTTACTCATTAGGGTTATTTGATTATATACTGATATATGCACAGGGGAAATTATTCACCTTTAATAGCTCCATTGGTGTCCTGAAGAGCCATTTCTTTGTGGTCAGAAAGCAGAGGTTAATTGTATTCGTAAAGAGGTTATTACCGTGATCTGGAAAATAATTATATCTTTCACAACAGCAACATTTATATTTGTATCAAAGCCTTCTGGTAATTAGGTAGGTATTACTCAGCAGGAATATTTGATGATAAATTTCACCTGCTGGGATTATTAATGTGAGCCCTGCTGTCCGCATGGAGTAATTAATTGCATCAGATATCTAAACATAGCTTGTATTTGCACATGCATGAAAACACTAACCATTTAATATATACATCAACCATACATTATTTTTCACACAGTGTTATATATGAAGACATATTGTAGATGAGTAAATCTTTCTCAAATGTTTATCTGTATCTGTTGATGAGTTTGTCTGATATAGTCTTGTTTCCACCACAGGGTTCGACAGGCCTGGGCATTATGATCATCGAGGGTAAACACGCAGAATATGGCCAGGGTATCTTCATATCAGATTTACAGGAGGGGTCTGTAGCTGCAGAGGTAAGAACTGATCATTTTAAACATTTCTTTCTTGCCTATGATAGTAGTTCCATTTTGAACAGAGCAATACTGATTAATTTTGCATTGCACTGAAAGTAAAAGGGTTTGATTATGTTAGTGTAAAATATGCAAATTGTATTATGGGGAATGAAAATACCTAGAATATTTTCATGTTTTTCACGTGACTGCAGTGTGTATTTGTGCAGTTTGGATCTATAATTTTAAATAATGATGGAGAAAACATGTAAAGGAAATGAAACAGTCTTCACTCTTATTCAACAGAATTAATATCTTCTTATTACTTTTAGGCTGGATTGCTGGTAGGAGACATAATTCTTTGTGTAAACAAAGAAGAAATGGTTGGAGTTGATTATGACCAGGCGACCAACATTCTCAAGAAAACTGAGGGTGTCATCAACATGTGGGTAGCCAACCCAGCAAGAGCAGCAGGCAGCGACCCAAAGAAGCCCGCTCCAGGCAAAAAGCCAGGTAAAATCAATAGAACTTTGAGATTTGTTTAGTGATGTTAGAAAATGTGGGGTATCTGTAAATATAGAATTTTCATTATAATTCTTAAAATAAATGCAAGATTATTGGCAAATTGTGTTATGTAATATATATACATTTTTGCTGGTCAGTTCATTAATTCATCAACTGTGTGAGTCATAAAGTGACAGAATTTACTCATATTTACCCATGAGGGAGTAAGTCAGATACTGACTAAAACTATGAGAATTTTTTTTCTTTCATTGTTGGGCATCTTATAAATCTGGTTTTAACAAGTCTCTCTTTCAGCAGTAGTGTTTGTGCAGGAATATTAGAAGTTAACTTTGACAAGTTCTATTTTTGCGTGCAAAAGGTGGAAATGTTTATTGCTTTTTGTATATTGATGTTGCTTTCATCAGTTAACTAGTCTTTTCTTTCCTCTTGTTAATCTGTTATAATCTTCTTTATTGTTAGACGTGGGTAGAACAGAATCTGTTTTCATCATCTCTCTGGTCTGATGAAGATTTTTTTTTTTTCCACATTTATTTTAATAAGGATTTTGAGGTTTCATTCAAAGTATAAGCTATTTACATGGTAATTTTCAAGAATATGTTGTAATTGAATGGATATTAGGATGTAACTTTTATATGATAGTATATATTTGACTACATGAAATTATTTATTTGTCTTTTTATGCACCAAAAGAGTAATTCCTAAATAATTCTTCATGGCAATGTACCTTTCATATATTGGTCATGTCAGTAAGTTTATTTATTGATATTGTTTTGAATATTTTGATACAGTCATTTACACAAGAAAGAATGAACCAAGTGATAGTACTACGTATAATGATAATGATTAATGAAAAAGATTCACAAAAATTTAGAGAGGGAGATTACTATTTCTTAGTAGCAGAATACATCTCTCCTTGTTTGTCACTGATCTTCATTGATGGACTGTGTATGTTTGAGTGTAGACAGTGTTTGTGTGTATCTAATGTTGTGCGATAGTGATTGAGATACTAACACGGTGTTGTGCCTCACTTTCTGTGCTTTTTGGCCGTGTGGTGCCGCTGCGCCGTGATCCTGGTGGTCATTGTGGGCTGGTGCATGGCCCTGTGAGTATGACGTGTCGACATGTTATCCCAATATATTTGTTATTATGACTTTTTCCCTGTATTCCCCATGCCTCATCCAATCCCTGTACATCCAACACCAGCATTACCAGTCTCCACAACAGCTGGTACCACCTTCTTTATATACATATACCTTATCGTCATGTTATGCGTCCAAGTTGTATTTTGTGTGTTTCATCCTTGGCAGTATTGCTTGGTATATCTCTGTATCCTGACATGTAATTAAGATATGATATTCTTGTGTATAGTAACTTAGTTTTTGGTGCCATTGCAAATTGAAAGTCTTTATAGATTATGGAATGATTATTAAGGTTTATTTTTAATGCAACTAATTTGTATAGCAAACTAACACTACTTTGTCACAAATTGCCACACTCACTCACTCTTTAAGAGAACCAGAAGATAGCAACAAATAGATAATTAATTTGCAGGAACTGCTAGTAGCTGGCATTACCTGTTTTGTATTGCATTTTGTATGCTATACATTATGTTTTGTCTTATATAGGAAAGAAAATGTGTTCCCTTTACCTGGATTGTGTAGCCTAGAAGGAGCTTCAGGAGAAAATGACTTATGTTTGACATGCATTTACACTATTTATTTGTTTTAGTTTTTTAATATTTGGTGGTGCAATTTGCAGATATCATTTGTGCATTTTTGAAAAGCTTTCATTTAAATGGCATGAATTGTGTCTTTTCTATGATATTAGAATAATTGCTAGAAATGTTGAAATCTCAAGAAAATAAATGAAAAATGTTTCTATGAAATTTACATTTTTTTCATATATTTTTTTTTTCTTCATACACTTATTGATGATATGTTAATAACTATAAAACATTAAATATCAGAATTTTTATCATGAGTTTTGTGTATTGCTTTTGTTTGAATAATATTTTACCATCAGCTAGCATAATATGTGTGTTTTTTTAACAGTGTTTAATAACAAATGAAAATCCTGAAATACTGTTTACTTCTATTCCAAGATAAAACATGAATGCAAGCCTTGTGTGATATTTTTTCTCAATAACAATTTTTTTAGTATCCAAATTCCTTTCATTCATTGTTTCATGGCTGGGTGTTATTGTGTGGCTTTGTAGATAGACTAATGAATATAGAAGCATTTATTAGAAGTATGTTTGGAAATGCATAGAGACTAAATGAAAATTCACTCTAATCCAGAAGAAAAGTAACATTTCTTTTCACTCTACTCTTTGATCTTTGGTATATGTTGAAACTTTCACTGTAGTGCGTGATCTATGTACATATGTAAATCATTTTAGCAGAGCTTGAAGGAGTGAAGCTTCATTCCATTCTGTTTTTCTTTCCCTGTAATTTTCTTTTTTTTCTATTTCAAAATGGAAAAAAAAAAATCATTAAAAATAGAGAAGATCATTTTATGACACTACAACCTATTTTCAACAGATGTGCCACCCAAACCTGCCTTGGGACCTAAACCTGCCCTGCCCGCCAAACCACCGTCGATCTCTTCCTTGCCCCCTCCTGCGGCCACACCTGTGACATCATCAACGGAAATCCAAACGGCCCCCTCCTCCCCTCCTATTCCATCTGGCCGCGCTGCTCCTGTGGAACGGCTGTCCTCGCATGGCTTGGCCTCCATTACCTCAACGACTTCCTCGATATCAACTGCATCTTCTCCCTCTTCGCTTGTTACAGCTGAAGAGCCTAAACAGGTTGGTGATTTTTAAGACAGTTGTCATCCTCCCATATTTTTCAAAATCATTGTCATCATCTTTTATTGAATTACTTTCACTATTATTTACTGTGTTATTTTTGAGATTTTGAATTTTTATCACAATTTTTCTTCTTTTTCTTTTTCTTTTTTTTTTTTCTTTTACTTACTTTATTTTCATTTTGTCTGTAACATATCATTATTGCATGTGGAACAAAATCATGCAGTATTCATTTCACCCCAAATGGAAACTGAATGCCTTTTTCAGAAGGGTGCAGCTGCTGCTCAAGGACCAAAAGAGGTAGCAAAGGCTTATGCTTATAGGTTGCTACCAGCCAAATAATTGATTATGTTTTATTTTGATACAATAGTCTGACTGCACATTGTTGCCAATGTCACACGTGCATCTGAGTGATAACAGCATTTAAAACGAAAACTGCAGTAAATATTATCTAAAGATATCTAGTGCAACTCTAGTTCGCTGTACAATTTAATACCTCTTTCAGAAAGCAACTCCTGCACCAGAGGCACCAAAAGAGGTAGCAAAGAAATGCTTATGCTTATACATTGCTATTGCCAAGAAAAAACAATTTTTGACATATTTTGCTGCCAATTGCTTGAGCAGCTCAGATATGGCATGCCTTTTGAGTGTGCTGTGAATAGCTGTACAGTGTTCATATTTCTGTCAAATCTCGAAAGAGCAGCCTCTTTCTTTGTCAAAGCAAAGAAACTTGTTACTCTACCCAATTTTTTATTTGGATATATTTATTATTCAATAACTGTTTCAGAAGGCAAATCCTGCACCAGAGGAAGTCAAAGAGGTAGCAAAATGCTTCTGCTTATAAGCTGCCTATTGATCTTTTTAGTGTGCAAACAAATTTAACAATGACCATTTTGATACTAATATGCAGAAGAACATACTGAATAGTTCATACTAAAATCTGTTTGAGAAGTTACAAAAGAGATATTAGCAGGATGATTTTTTTTCAATTTCTTTTAAAATATATTATTTTTATTACTGTTATATATTACATATTGGTAATTGCAATATCAGAAGCAATAGCAATAGTAGGAAGACTTTTTTTCATTTGATGTTAAAAATTTATATAAATTAATATATTTTGAAGCCACTGGTTAGAGCCATGTTGGGTGAGCAGAAAAGAGTGCTGGCTGAGCTGATGTTATCCTACTGATAATAGGAATTTACTGTAAATTTATCTGATTCAGAATAAGGGTTAATATTTAATGTCAAATGGCTTACTTCTTGTAATACCAATTACAGAAGGTACATTCAAGAAGAATAGATGCGAAATTGGTTAAATTCCTGGACTTAGAGATAGCTAACAAAGCTTCTCCATACCTGTTCCATACCTCAAAAAAGCGAGTGACAAAATCTGTTACCACCTAATGCAGGAAGTGTGAGAAGATGACAATTGAGCCTGAAAAGAGTAGCTACAGAAATATACTAGCAGTAATGTAAATAAGAAAGATCATTAATTAGAAAAAATCTTATTTGATATCTAAAACTAGCAGGATCTATCAATTTCAGAAAAGAAATCCTAGGACAGAGGCATCAAAAGAGCTAGCAC